TCGCCGCTTTTAGCAATATTCCAGCAATATCATGGCGGGGGAGACTAGACATGGGCCTATATGTCCTCGGCCTTGGTACATTGCTAGCGGCGGCGTATAACATACACATACACTCAGTCATTTTATTCATGATCCAAAAGTTCGCAAAGTTTATACTCCGTATGCAGGCAATCTTTAAGATGAGGAACAAGATGAATGGAATCTTAAAGCTTAGGATCAAGAGATAAACCGGAAACAATACGATTATAAACATAAATACGGTATTCACAGCTTTAACACAATAACACCTGAAGGATGTTATATAATCGTTCCAGTCAATTCCGAGAGAGCTCTAGTGCTAAATTTAAAATATTCTTAAAATAACACCTGTCCAAATATAGGAATTATTTCAACTCGAAGGGATCACGTTTTATTTGGTCACAGAATATTTTGACACCAGCTCCATAAACGGACAGGTTAGAGCGTGGTTGTAACAGGCATTCATCTCCCAGTGTGACGGCGTCGATTACCTCCCCCCCCCCCCCCCCCCCCCCCCCACACACACACACACACTCACTCACACACCCACCCCTAGGCACGTCCGTACGTCATGTCACGTCACATACACAAGCAACTGAACGTCAGAATGTAAATGTATGTGCGAAGATGTTCTTCAATTCAGAAAAAAGTATGTTCTGACCCTAAAACAATGAACTCACCCTCGTGTTCTGTTTGTTTGTTCGTTTTTTTTGTTATTTAACACCGCATTCAGCAATATTCCAGCTATATGAAAGCGGTCTTTACACTATGGAGCTGGACCAGACAATCCAGTGATTGACATCATGAGCATCGATCTAGGCAATTGGGATCGATGACATGCATCAACCAAGTCAGCGAGCCTGTCCTCCCGATCCCGTTAGTCGCCTCTTACGACAAGCATAGTCGCCTCTTACGGCAAGCATGGGTTGCTGAATACCTATTCTAATCAGGATCTTCACGGGTCCATGTCTACTGTGCATGATGGATTTATTGCGGGCTATGTGTAGGGAATGCCCGACAGTGGACGTTAACGCTCATAGTGTTGTAATTACGGAACGTGACAGATTAGTATTCAGTGGGTGTTACGGTATCAGTGTAACAGATATAGGTATGTCACAAGGCAGATAAGGGTAATAAACTACGTCACTCTTGGTTTGCGAACATTCATCGCTGTTCAACAACACTACATTGACCGCGCAGGCTTTCGTTAGACTGAAATAATCGGTGTTCAACATGACCACATTAATCAATAGCCTTTAGTTAGCCTGAAACTTTGACTGAATACTAGTATATAACACGTACAAGTAGAATCCGACCCGTGAAGATCCGGGGTAGAATAGGTCTTCAACAACCTATGCTTGCCGTAACAGGCGACTGTTCTTATCGTAAGAGGCGACTAACGGGATCGGGTGGTCAGGCTCGCTGACTTGGTTGATGCATGTCATCGTATCCCAATTGCGTGGATCGATGCTCATGAAAACAATCACTGGATTGTCTGGTCCAGATTTGATTCTTTACAGACCGCCGTTATGTATCTTGAATATTGCTGAGTGCGGCGTTAAACAAGAGACATACAAACAAATAAACAAACAAAACAAACAAGTAAAATCCAGAACAGCGAGTGTATGGATTACCCACAGAAGACTCTCCCTCCCTCACTCATTCACTCGTTCAGTACCTGGGGTTTCATGTTCTCAATCGTGATTGGTCCCGATCTCGAAGACGATCGTAACTCTCATATTTTACGAGGCATAGGCTTAGATGGGCTCACGTCGGTTTACGATTGTCGTAAATATAGATTTGTTTGAGAAACGTGGGCCTTGACTTCCGCAAACACATTATCTCACGTCGTGTATCTACATGACGTCAATTTCGCGCAAGATGTCGGTGTAGAGACGGGTCGTCAACGATGATGTATGATGCAACAACGCCAGTTTGCCATTTACAGTGAGCGTAATACATGAAGCGAATACACCTTTGACCTCTACAGTGAATTTAATAGTTTCCGAGCAGATTTATTATGAAAAAAATATCAAACAAAATACATTAAAAGCATAAAGAGACACATGTTCCGTCAAATATACACCGGCGTAAGTGACAGACCACGTTTAGTTGCAGGGTGGTGGTCATGGATTGCCTTAAGAAACAATTTTTTTTTTAATATTATCTTCAAAATATATATTGTAATGACCGGAAGAAACAGACATTTTATTTGGCAACTTAATATTTATTAATACGTTCACAATTCCTGATTCCTTCATGAAGGGCAATTGGGTGTTCAGGCTCGCTGACTTGGTTGATGCATGTCATCGATCCCCATTGCGTGGATGCTCATGATGTCAATCACTGGATTGTCTGGTCCAGACTCAATTATTTACAGACCGCTATCATATAGCTTGAATATGGGTAAGTGTGGCGTTAAACAACCACCACCACCACCACCACGAAGGGGCAATGTATCCTCTTGGTTAAAGTGTTCACTCAAGCCGCAGACCCAGGTTCTTTTCCCTAACTGTGCTCAATTTGTCAAGCTCACTCCGCCCTGGGGGCGGTCGGGTAGCCTAGTGGTTAAAGCGTTCGCTCGTAACGCCGAAGACCTGGGTTCGATTACCGACATGGGTACAATGTGTGAAGCCCATTTCTGGTGTCCCCCGCCGTGATATTGCTTGAATATTGCTAAAAGCGGCGTAAAACCATACTCACTCACTCCGCCCTGATGAAGTTGAATTATTGTTGGGAGGAACGACAAAAACATGCTCTCTTTTTAGTTGATACTCTTTTTCCATAAAATGTTTTCCCCTAATGTATGAATACGGTTTTGCGCCGCTTTTAACAATATTCCAGTATTATCACGACGGGGGACACCAGATATGGACTTCACACATTGTACCCATTTCGGGAATCGAACCGGGCCTTCGACGTGACGAGCGAACACGTTAACCACTAGGCTACCCCAACGCATATCGACCATTACTGCAATACAATTTTTGAAATAGCGTTTGTTTGTTTTGTTTGTTGTTTAACACCGCACTCAGCAATACTCCAGCTCCATGGCAGCGGTCTGTAAATAATCGAGTCTGGAACAGACAATCCAGTGATTGACATCATATGCATCGATCCACACAATTGGGACACGATGCCATGCATTAACCAAGTCAGCGAGCCTGACAGCATGATCCCGTTAGTCGCTTCTTAAGACAAGCATAGTCGCTTTTTACGGCAAGCATGTGTTGCTGAAGACCTATTCCACCCCGGATCATCACTGGTCTTTGAAATAGAGTATCATGAAATACACATCTCTTTGGCTTGAGGTGTTCCTGTCATGTTCCGCGCCTCGCTACACTTATTCCTACATCATACATACATGTCAAGCATAACGTACCTAAAGATGACAGCCTTGTCATCGGTTGACGTCCAGTGTCAGGCGGCCCCGTATCCCACGAGACTTGCCCGTCACCATGGCAACACCAGTTTCCCGTTTGAATATTTATTTAAACAAAATAAAAATAAATCTTTCAGAGTTAAACCCACACGATTCTTTGGTGCACTGTGCAAGTTCTTGTGAATCAATGTTGTATAACCCTGCCCTCAACAATATTCCATCTGTATGGTGGGGGTCTGTAAATAATCGAGTCTGGACCAGACAATCCAGTGATTGACATCACGAGCATCGATCTACGCAATTAGGATACGATGACATGCATCAACCAAATCAGCGAGCCTGATCACCCGATCCCCTTAGTCGCCTCTTACGACAAGCACAGTCGCCTGTTACGGCAAGCATGGGTTGGTGAAGACCTTATTCTGACCCAGACCTTCCACACTAAACAGGCACGCCGGGATATTAGGAACCGATCCTTTCATATTAGTTAGTGAATATAGTTTTACGCCGCTTTTTAGCAATATTCCACAATATAACGGCGGGGGACACGAGAAATATTAGAGATGGGATATTTTTGTCACTGCTCCAAAACACACAAAACAATTCCATGAAAGGACACGTTATTTTCAGGACATTAAACATGTCCAGCGACGAATATTATCTTAGTCTTGGTAAAAACTGATTATCTTTTTCACGTCCTTTTTAAAATGATTTATCCAACATTCGCTTTTCGGCATCATTTCTCACTCCAGGGTGTCTGGACCCCCACCCCAACTTTGTAAACCAAATGTAGTATTGTGTGGGCAATAAAAATGATTGGACCCCTCCATTTTAAAAATGCTGGATTCGACCTTCAAAGACATGATAAAAACACAAATACTGCAAGTATCAGCATGCATAACTCACTTCGTTCACCAAGTATTCACCTGATGAAGTGACAAGTTGCCTGAAAGGACGTTAAAACAATTAAAAAAAGTTGTTATCCCTAAAGAGTTCCATGTCTTCATGCACGAAACTTGTCGGTTCTTTAACAAAACAAAAGTGTTTTCGCTGCTCGAAGGCAGTCTTGGGTGTGTGCCTGTGTGTATTTGTGCTTTGAAGTCTCATTCAACATGTCAGGGACGAAACTGCAACTTCAATAGAGAGTATCATTTATTTTTACACTAGTTATGAAAGGCCCATCTAATTTTGTCATGTTCAACACAAGTGTAGGCCGCCCGTCGGAATACCGCGTCAGGTAGGCAAATAATATAACATTTTAAAAGATCCCTCATTTTGAAGAACAGACGATTCTGTTGTTGTGTGTTAACACTGTGATGGGTTTGAATTCGTTGAGACACAGGGGAAAATAACCCCTGACATATTTCTCGATGGCAAGACCCAGTTCATTTCTATCGACTATTTATTCTCAGCATCGTGCTGTGTACATTTTAAGCGTGCAGTTGTGAAGAATCGCCACTTAGTATGCACACAGCGTGTGATTGACACGTGTCACGTGACTGTCGGCTCAGAGATGATTGGTAGCAGAAGTCTGATTGACAGGCGTTGTCGAACGACTTCACTGGGTCACTCTAATCCCCAGATGAAGCTATTGCTTCCGAGAGGTGGTTTGTGATCCGGCGAACGACTAGGGTTAGTTTTGCCCACCTTTTAGCAGCTGATATCCCATGTTTTTAGTATTTTTTAGCAACCCGCTTCTGTGTGTTAGTTCGATGTTTTAGATAGTGTGATCTATAGATATTTTTTTAAAGTCTCGGTTCTATTTGATTAAATATGTCTAAAATTAACATATACGACATGACTTAATCAGTTTGATTAACAGTTTCAGCATATTGTCGATTATTCTATTGATCTAATATTCGGTGATTGATTTTTCCCCTCATTGATTTTTCAACCTCAATTTCTCGATCAGCCCATGATAAACTCTTCGATGTACGTTGTAACGCAATCATTATATGCATTAACAAATCAATAATCAATATTTGCTCAGTGCCTGCTTTCGTTATGTACTGAACATCTTTTAAATGAGAACGGCGTTATGTTTCCACACACATAAGTATAACCTTTTCATATCGGTGGAGTTTGCAGTTCAAAAACCATATTCTCTGTTGTCATTCTTCAGATGTGCTGCATTCTTTACAGTGACCCAGCTGGGAAATCAAGAAAAAAACACGTCTTGAGATCACGTGACGTTCCGGACTGGGGTAAAAGCATCTAAATATCGCCAAGCTACGGTCATCTCCGACCTCCATCCAACGTTGTGTGTGTACGACTGATGTGAGACGAAGCCCTCTCAGCCGGCGGCAAGACCACGTGAGCCTGGAAAATATGATTGAGTGATATAGACACGGAAACAGTGACATCATAATTCGCGAATATCATCCCACTTTGTGACAGTCTGTATAAGTAATATATGTGTGGTTGGTCGTGCATGAAAAAGGATGTTTCGGAAAAGTTGCTAATTTACAACGGTCGAGTTGGATTTATGTGATGAAATAATATGTAGTGCACGATTCATCACACACACTCGTGTGGGTTCCAGCTTACAGACAGTGACTATTTTGTTGACGTCCCGTGTGATGTATGGAAGCGAGGTTGTATATATATTCAGACCCACAAACACTGAATATTTCTCACATACATAAGATGAAATGGACGAACGGATGTTTCTTTGGTGTAAAGGGATATCTTCACGTGTGTGATTGTAAGATCAAGTGCGAATGGACTAGCATATCTGTGACTAAACTTCGCTACCAACTGACTCCTAAAACAGAAGGCAAATGAAGAGGCTTAATAATAGCAGGACTAGATTGTAGAATACGAACGCATTTGACGTCAAGGAATGCGTTTTGAAGATTAATCACATCTTATGTTTACAGATTGTTAAAATGGGAAATCGTGTGGACTCTTGTCTTTGATGTTTTCGAGTTTTAAGCAGAGACTGTCGTAACGTTGGACGTGAGACTATTAAACTATTCACTCAAGAGATATAAACCTCTCAAAAGACGGAGTGTACCTATAAAACTATGATTTGTGAATAGCTATGTTATACGGAAAAACACGAAGTCATTTCAAAGATTGCCAGTGAAACGTGTTCATCTGTTTCCTGAAAGAGAACCCCGTTCTACCTGTGTTGATTGGAAAGCGGCGAGATGAAAGTCTTTACCTGGATTCTTCTGTTTATGTACCAGGTGGGCCACGTTCACCTCGGCACAGGTAGGGTTTCACGAACATATTTGTTGAAGGGATTGTATATTATAACACTGGGCCTTCTTATTGGTCAGGGGAGTAAGCAAGAGTTTGGCAAGATTAGAAAATGATTGCCACTTGCTGACGACTAATTTTACATATGTCAAATACTTTTTTGACATGACATGGGATAATTATATACAGTATATTTTTTATCTCTTGCCCCCGAATACCAAATACTACAATAATAACACATACTGGTTTACTTAAATATATGTCTAAGAGATAATAAAAACCACATTTAACAATTAGAGTGGCATAATTTATATCTTAGCTCGGCCACTTTGAAATATATGTTAGAAGCTCTAATGCACAAAGTTCTCATGTACTTTGACATATATACGGATAGAAGGGCTATAATAAGCGGCTGGGAGTCATCGCTACACCCATATATACTTATTAACGTAGTATGCAGGCGTATTAATTCACAATCGAACTATCATTATTATTAATAATATTATTATTATCATTACTATTCTTCTTATTATTGTTATTCTTCTTCTTCTTATTAAAGTAACAAGGCGGGTTCAAAGGTCACGGCGTGTAAACAGAGAGCTGTAAATATTGTTTTCGTGAAAGAGTTTTAAGTGAGAACATCTATCATGCCCTGACAGGGATGAGGGATAGTTACAGTGACTGTAACATGGTTAAGTAGTCTCAGCCAATTGTGTGCTGCCAAGTGAAAAATGACATATAGCGAAATTGAGATCATCTTAGTTGACTTAGGGACAAGCCATATGCTTTTCAGATGGTGGGGTTTGGGTTTGGGTTGGGGTGGTGTGTGTGTGTGTGTGTGTGTGTGTGTGCGTGCGTGCGTGAAAATTAATGCGAGCCCTTTTCTTGTAGACACAAAATATAATTCGCTATTTTTATTAATTTAAAAAAATGAGTCACCTGTTCATGTTGGGAAGAAATAACTGAGTTCGTATACATGATAAAATAGTGATTTCAAAGCAACATGCCGGACTCCTTCCTGACAATCTAATGGTTGCTCATTTCGTTTGATGTTTGCTTCTTTCAGAGATAATGGAATATAAGGCTTATGGGATTTATCGAATGCTTTTAACTCTTTATCACACAAAGGCGAGTATAGACAATATACGTGTACATGGAAATGAAACTGGTTTATCAACCTCAGTCAAGCTACTGTGTTCGCGAGTTCCATGAAATGCTGGTGTGGCAGCTTACTGTTTGAGGAGACTCGGAGTGATGAAGGTTTTAGACGTTTATCACTTTGGTGCTGACAAACCACAAATCATAATCAGTCATAGGATTCAGGCACGCCAAAGGGACGCAACTCTGAATTTGGAATTGCAGCGCCATGGAAGTCTGAGAACCTTTGTTCAAGAATTCGTAGAAACGTTTCATACCTGTTACACATGTTAAAAAATAATATGATCTCAGAGTGAGGTATGAAATTAAAGCGTATTAAAAGAACGAATTTGGAAATAACATAACACAGTGGTCGATGGGCACATGGGAACAAACGTCTCATATATGCCGTGTCCATCATTCATGTTTCATCGTTCTCATGAAACGATTGTTCATATAGAAACATGAAATAAATAACCTTTTTTATTAATCCACTCAGAATGTCAGAATAATAAATAAAATCTTCCACCATAACTAGCTTAGCCATTATCTTTGCTCCGTATTGATATAGTGTTGCTAAACATGCGTTGAATAACCGATCTGTTGACATCAAACACTTTCCTCTTCGCAACTCACTGTCAAACCCGGAAAATGTGATTGATCGGCACGATTTAAACATTTCTAAATATTCGACATTCTAAATATCACTTTCTCTTGTTAAATATCCAAACCAACAATTTTAGCAATGACAGAAACATTCACCCATTGACAAAAACAAATGCTTTGTGCATATTAAACCATACTGTGTTTGATTATTAAAGATTCCTGGAAGCGGCGACATTCGTTTTTGGGGCAAAATGGCTATTTTAGACAACGGATGTGCAGATGTGGCAAACTTGGTGTTGGCGACGTTATTGAAATAGTTATTGAACGATCGTGCCTGCTATATTAATAACCAACTTAAGAAAGATTACTGACACGCTTGGCGCTCGTGCATGTCATGATATTATCAGTCACGTGCGACGCAAAGCGAACCTTTTATCTTGTTTCGGTTTGAAGATGGAGTATAATTTTATATTGTTTTAAATCATACATTTCATACATAGTATAGATATGATATATCATTATCTTGTCACATATATTTAACTTCCGGTGCGACCGCCTCCGTGGTCTAGTGGTAGAGCGTCCGCCCGGAGAGCGGAAGGTCCGGGGTTCGATCCCCAGTCGCGTCATACCAAAAGACGTTAAAAGATGGTATTTGTTGTTACCCTGTCTGGCGCTCAGCATTAAGGGGCTAAAACAAGGACTGGTCGGCTCGGAGTCAGTATACTGTGTCTGAGAGGGGTATTCATGTTAAACTGCGGCATGATATCTCAGTGAGCTAGCGTTATAAATCGGCATCAGTCCGGACTAGTACAAGCAGCCACACACACACACACACACACACACACACACACATCATGTATACATCATATATATCATGTATACGAACTCAGTTATTTATCCCAACATGAACAGGTGACTCATTTATCTTTTTAATTAATCAAAATAGCTAATTATATTTTGTGTCTACAAGAAAAGGGCTCGTAATATTTTTACACACACACACACACACGCACGCACGCACGCACGCACGCACGCACACACACACACACACACACACACACACACACACACACACACACACACACACACACACGTACATGCGCGTCGCTATATAAGTGCAATAATCTTGGGCGCGACGTTAAACCCCATTTCACCTTACCTCACCTAATTCCGGTGCGATCTTTATCCCAGTTTCCCGTGTTGAGTTCATTGAGTGGGTGACTTATTGTCTCTCTCACTCATTTCTAATATCAACATAGGTTGTTTTCAACATTAACTTGTTTATAAAGCTGATCGTCAGAAATCTATGTATAACACACCTATCCCTGTGCTGGGTGGAACTCTTAAGAATGTAAAATTGTCGATTTTCCACCTGCACAATCTATCTTCGTATACACTTCATTCAACCGGTGTCTGCCGTTTCTTACAGGTTACGGGGCGGTTGGGGTGGCCTAATGGTTAAAGCCTTAGCTCGTCACGCCGAGGACCCGGGTTCGATTCCCCACATGGGTACAATGTGTGAAGCACACTTCCGGTGATATTTCTTGATATTTCTGGAATATTACTAAAAGATGCTTAAAACCATACTCACTCAGTCTTAAAGCTTTCATTTGTTTTCTGGTTTCATACATAACTGTTTTCCACCAGTTTCAAAGTGTTTGGTGTATTATACATTCAGAAAACATTATTTGCGCTATCTTATCAATCTTGTAAGTTTGGTCCAGGATTCTCAGCTCTATATTCTAGGAGTTCTCGAGATATTGGCTAGTCGTGGATCTCTGCAGATTGCCTTTTGGAATGTTAAGGAAAACGAGTGTGGGTTTACATTAGGGTTATATAACCGCTTCACCACAGATGCGGTTTTAGCTCTTACTATAATGATTAAAAAGACAAAACCCTTTCCATATTCAATAAACATCTCTAATAAAAGCAGAGTTGATGGTACGATTCCGAAATTATCATGAACATGTGTTTACGAATCACTATCAAATAGTGATGATACCAGGTGTTCGCGAAAAGGTGAGCGTATCCTGCCCTACCGGTGGCACCGTCACAAACACATGCAAAGGCAAGTCAATTATATATTTTAATATTTTTCTCTCACGGAATAATTCATCAATGTATCGTAATGCGTTTGTTTTTGGACAACGTTTTAACCTGACCCTACTTTATTCCCTGGAAATGGTTTCTAGATTTGTCAGACACACTGCAATTATAATTGATATATTTCCTGAATAATCCATGTCTCTCTAAGAAATAAAACAAAGACAAGTACACATGCATGTCATTTATCACAAGTTTGCATGTAAATAATTATTCAAATTTTCTTGAGTGTAAATCACGTACATTTCAACTGAATGTCTTTCATAACAGTATAGTCTGACATAGAGGCCCATTGAAATACGTTCTTCCTCGTGGAGATTCCCGGTCAAAAAAACCTGTCTGGTGCTCGGCGTGACGCGATATGACAAGGGCTCAGAGTTAGTATGCTGAGTACTCAAGTCAAAACTGCGGCATTGTATCTCAGTGTGCTAGAACTTTAAAACCGGAATTAGTCCGGGATAATACAAGCGCGCACATACGCACACAGAGAGCTGTAAGTTTGTTTGTTTGCTTGTTTGTTGTTTAACGCCGCACTCATCAATATTTCAGTTATATGACGGCGGTCTGTAAATAATCGGACCAAACAATCCAGTGATTGACATTATGAGTATCGATCCACGCAATTGGGATACGATGACATGCATTTACGAAGTCAGCGAGCCTGACCACCCCCATCCCGTTAGTCGCCTCTTACGAAAAGCGTGGTCGCCTTTTACGTCAAGGATGGGTTGCTGAAGTCCTATTCTGACCCGGATGTTCACGGGTGAGCTGTAAGTGCCATAATCTTATGTCAATCCCCATTGCACCTGACTCACCGTGTCAGGACAGGTCCCAGGTACCGCATGAGTGTCGCAAGAGCCGACTAAACCGTGGCTCGATTGGTTATTTACAGATCGTCGTGATTTCACTGTAATAATGCTGACTAGGGAACATTGACTCAAGCACTCGAAAACTATCTAAGAAAAACGGTTGCTGGTAATAATAATGTCAAATTATAAAACTAGCAGAAGTCTGTACGTTCAATATTTCACAGTCTGTGATTAGCAGACCATGGAACAGGTACCAACAAAACCACAATGTTGACGGTCAATCCCGTTCAGGGCGTCCAAGGTCAACGACAAGATTACAGGATCGATTGATCCGAAATGAGGCCCTAAGAAATCGAG